ACCGGTTCTTCTAGGAGAACACAACTCAAATGAAAGACAACACTTTAGAATCTCTTGGATGCACAGGCTATCTAACAGTCAGTATTGTGAATATGTATTTGTCTTTCAGGTCCCACATGAAGCTTTTGTTAGCCTACTGATTAGTGGTTTGCTAAAGATCCACATCTGTTCAGTCCTAATCCTTTGAGTTAATTTTTGCATTTTCAATGAGGAAATACTCTTAATTCCAACATGAGTGTTTTAGAAATAAAATAAAACTACTCATAACATCAGGCTAAATACAAATCAGTAGGGACTAAAGATAACCACCCATGCATAGGTTCAATAGGCTTGAACCTATTTGTAAAGTTAAGTCCATGAGGTGGCAGTGCAAATATTTCAGGATTTGTTTGTCTCTTTTGCTGAGTCAGTAATCTTGTGTTGTGAGGCTGTCACTTTAAAATCAGACAGAAAAATATCTTTGCTGTCTTCTGTTGATCTGTGTTGAAAATATGTGGGCAAAGTCACCAAAATATAAATAAATGTGTGTTTGGTGGTTGAATCCCAACTATTTCCAGATGCTTAATTTATCAAAACTCAAGTGTTCATATACTGGAATTGCCCATTTTACGCACATTTCTTAATCCATCCAGGAACTTCAAACATTTTTGTCCCCAAATCTAAACTGGCGTGATGCATTTTCTGTCTGTCTTCTCTGTGCTTCTGAATGAAAGAATCATTCAATATCGTGCAGTAGACCTGTTGCAAAGTCAGGACTGTTCACCCAGTCTCGATCAGGAAAACTAATTTTGGTTTTCCCTTTCAAGAAAAGGGGGAAAAAATCTTCAACATTGGGTTCAAAGAGTCAGTTTAGCATGAAAGACTTTTTCCCTGCCAATTGGCTCAGTAGTTTGACATCAAAGCCTACATTCATCTTGCCCTGGTGTGCGCCGACAGCTTTTCCACTTTATGATTTTTCCAAAGACAATAGAACAGCAAAGAAAGAAGAACAATTATAAACTAAAGTTTGATGCTGTGACCCAATTTCCTTTTTTAGAATCTCCCATCAGTATATACACGTGCGCGCGCGCACACACACACACACACTGGAGGCTCTGGCCTCCAGTAGATGTGCCAGAGTGCATTAAGAAAGCCCTGCTGTCGGAATGATACATGAACACATAAAAAACCAACCAGGAGAGCTCTGTGGGGAGGAAGCAGGCGAACAGCGAGGGGAAAAGCTGAACCCAGGGTGGACAGGGTGAGGAGGAATGTAAGACATGATTTCCTCTTCATACAAACTGCAAAGACAAAGGGAGAAGCAGATACTTTGACAAAAAGTCAGAACATAAGTTGTGTGGACATGGGTCAGTCAATGAATGAATCAATCAAATTTTATTTGTACAGCACATTTCAGCAGCAAGGCAAGTGCTTTACATAATTAAAATAAAAACAGCAAGTGAGAGAGAGAGATTTAAAAACCATAATTAAAACATAAACAGAGAGAGAAATAAAAAGCTGTAGAACTTTAGTTGAGACGCCGTCAACTGGGACTCCAACCCTTTGGACTTTAGTCAAAACGCCGTTTGACATGGTGTCTAACCTTTCGGACTTTACGCCATTTGACAAGGACTCTAACCTTTCGGACTTTAGTCAAAACGCTGTTTGACAAGGACTCTAACCTTTCAGACTTTACGCCATTTGACAAGGACTCTAACCCTAACCCCCCGAATTTTTTTTTTTTTTTTTATTTTTTTTTAGAGATTTTGAAAAAGATTAAAAAATAAAAACATTAAAATCTGCACCCCTTTTAGGACTTCAGTTAAATGTCATTGATAAAAGGTAGCAGTCCAGGTTTATTATCACATCATGTCTGTGCAGGTTTTGCTCTGAAATTGTGATTGGCCTTAATAAAACCAGGAACAAGTCTGCCTGCGGGTGTTTTGAGTTATTTATGAATTCATAAAGTGCAGATTCTAAGCTTTCTAATGATGTCAAAGACGTAGAAATAAAAAAAAATCTAAGATCCAACTTGGGAGTCAAGTTGTGCTTAGTTCTAGAGAAACACGTCTGAATAGAAAAATACATTTTCTGAAAAGTTTGAGCTCCTGATTCTGAGAGAGCACTTTAACCTCCTCCTGTTCTAACTTGCATGTGCAGCAGTTCACAAAGGGCGATAAAAACATGAGCAAGACCAATATGACAAGCTCATTTAGAAATGAGGGCAGTTTTAAAAACTCTAATGCAACACTGGATGAACATAATGGTTCAATTCTGTGAACAGATGATGACTTGTACCAGCTCTGCAAATGTGACCTTCATGAAGTTTTACCTTAGCAGGATTACAAGATCTGCATCACATGACAGCTTCTCCACACCCTGAGTACCTTCTGTCCGGATGCAGTGCACCTTTTCTCTACATCAAAAAGACATAATAAAAAAAACAAACATTATTTATACAATACAGTAGTTCAATTTCATTTATGAAATAGATATTAACTAATATATATTTGGGATACTTCTTCTGCTTAACTACAAAAGACTTTGATAACATTCAGTTACCATGCATCCTTCATTGGCGCTATTGACATAAGAACAACATGGGATTTTAAGACAGGGTGGTCTTAACATCAACAGAGGTGAGTTCATCAAATCTGTGAGTTAAGGGATTTGCCCAACTGCACATACTGTAGCTAAAATCTGTGTGAAAAGAAGATGTTGGAGCTAAAAGATTTTTTCTTCACTTCTAGCAACCGAATTTAAACAAATGTAAAATACTTAGATTTTATACGACAGAAACAACTCACATTTTTCTGGTCATACTTTGCAGATGTAGTTTCCTTTTTGTCTATGCTTACCTTAATGCGTGGTTTCTGCTTAGACTGGGCTGGCGCTCCTGCAGCATGTCAAATATGTTTGGCTGTCGCAGGAATGCCACTATCTTGTCATTGTAAGCTATAACGGATACAAACAGCAATTACAAACTGCTAACTGTTATACATTGCAGTTAAAAATGTTCAGATAGGTTATTTTAAGACATTTTTTGATAATACACATCAGTCAATCAGGACAGGAGTGAAATTGAAGCAAATATGGTTGATCACATTTAATGCGTAAACCAGAGGTTCCCAAACTGTGGGGCGCGCCCCCTAGGGGGGTG